ACCAGGGCCGTGTCTCCATTCTACTTCCTCTCCCTCAGAGGTAAAAGAGGAAGCAATCTTCTCCCAGCAGATGCTGGACTTGGAAACAGGGCATTTTTGAGACCGATTGTCTCTGGGGTCAGAATATGATGCTCTGGGTGCTAGTCCTTGATATTGAATCCACACTTCCAAAACAGATGTGACTTATTTGGCCAGGATCGTCTCACTCTCTGCCCTTATATTACTCCAAGCCCTTCCCTATACATTCTTAACATGCTTACTGACACCAGATCACTTGTCTAGCCCCGAAACATTGCAAGAATCCAGCATCTCAAGCCTTAAAACCTGATCCTTAAAGCCTCCTAGTTTTTTAGTATTCCTTCACATAGCTCTCTGGATTAGACCCTCCTGATCTTGGGGTGTGTTCTCTGCTGTTCTCTGATTGCTGGCACACCCACGTCAGAACATACTGGAGTGGAATGGTGAACCATTAGTCAGTGAGCTGAAAGGAATAAGTAATTTAGGTATTGTTAGATAATGTCTACAATTTCCTACAGGTGAACAACTCACACAATACTGTACTTAAAATTCCAGCGTCATTCTCTGGAGCTCAATGAACATTTTGGGAACTCAGCCAACATTACTCTCCCATTCCTGCCCTTTCAAACCAAAGGGATAAAGGCCAAGATTGTTCCTCTACGGTTTTGTCATTAGCTTTTCTTTTCCTGGGTCAAGGACTTTCCTTTGGCCTAAGAAACTCAACCCAATACCATCATGCCTGTCTCACTTTCCTGACCAACATCTGCACCTAGTCTCTTGGGTGTGAGATAATGTTTAATCAAATCAGTACAGACTTGGCTGAGATCTGAAACACTCGTGAATACGAGGATTGTTTCGCGTCCACCTGGCCTTTTTTACTATAGGATTAATGTGTTGAAATAAGGCTGGAGATCCTGTGACAAAGATCAGATTTACCGTAAACACTGTAATTTATTCCTCCCCAGAGACTTTTAAGAAATGGGGAATTCTGTTGCTCTGGTGTTTTAATTCAATGTCAGCAACAGAGGTAGAGAATTAAATGGATTCTCAGTGACACTTCAAGTCACCAGCTAGTTCTCACCTCCAACCCCATACTTCTAGTAAACGGCTGGGTTATATATCACTACCATAGCCAGAAACCACTCTTTTCATGTCATTTCCTGAGTGTAGGGATTTGCATTCTGAAGGGCTTTTGAAATGTTTCTTTCAGACCTTCTTTGTAAATCCCCTATAGAACAACCCTGGGAGGTGGGTAAGGAACATTTCTCCTAAATATAGAATATCATCCTTTGGATGTGAAATGTCTCAAAATGTAAAATAGTAGGCACGTGTTTTTGAACACTGATCATGGCATTCTCTCTGGGAATGGTCACTCTATCTTATGTGAGGTCCAGGTTGATGGCACCTGTGTAGGATACACAGTACCAGGCCAGAGGATGGACTCCAGGCAACAGAAAGACCCACCACACCTGTGTACTTTACTTGGACTACAACCCACTGCTCCTTAACCATTTCTTCTGGGTTCTGGGCTGCTTCCAAAGCCCTCGTACATCTCATATTGTCACTTCTCCTTTTCTCTTCCATTTCTTCATCTTCACCTTTCTGTTTGCCACCATGAATTACCTCTATCTCTGAATGCCAGATCCTTTTTACCATCAACATGCAATTCAAATTCTTCTTTGTCATTCATCCAACATATTTATTGGGTACCTAATACAGACCAATTGATCTATTAGGCTTGGGGTACCCACCGGTGAACAAGCAAATATGCTCTCTGCCTTGTGGATGCTACATGCTATAGAGGGAATTGGAAAGCCAACAAATAAGCAATAAAGAATGATCAATGAGACAGAATAATAAGGAGCCTCTACTTAGAGAAGGTGATGATGTTCAAGCTAAGAACTGAAAAATCAGGAGAAGTTAGGTGTCCTGTGGGAGTGACAGTGGAAACAGGCATTTGAAGAGCGTGTCATGTGATCTGATGTTTGCTGCATCAGATAAAAAGCTGCAGGTGGACAACAGATGGAATGAAGACAGGAGTTAAAGTAGGGAGACCTGTAGGTAGCTGTAGACTTAGTCTACAGGAAAAATGATGGATGAGATAGTGGCAGTGGAAATGGACCCTACTGGATTAGATATATGGTGTGGTGGACACAGAGGAGTCGGGACAGGGCTTCCCTGGTGGCACAGGGGTAAGTATCTGCCTACCAAAGCAGGAGACGCATGATACGCAGGTTCAGTCCCTGGGTCAGAAAGATCCCCGGGGTCAGAGATAGAAACCCACTCCAATGTTCTTGCCTGGAAAATTCCATGGACCATAATGGATTAGATATAAGGTGTGATGGATGGACAGGAGTCAGTAATGGATCATTCCCAAAGAATTTAAGCGCTTACTTACTCTTCCAGACTAGAGCCAGGCACCCCCCAAAAATCAAAACATGTTCCTTGTCGACTTTCTCTGAAGACTTCCTTAGCAATTTCTTACATGCCTTGTTTGGCAGTAACTTAGCTAATAATGTGTAACATCTCTTCTACCATCTTTTAATCAAAGATTCTAGAATATTCCATCAGATAAACACTAAAAAGTGTGCAATTGACCATCCTAGGACACAGCCCACACGACTCTTTGGTGAAATAATCTCTTTCTGTGATAGCAAGGCCCTGATAATGTAAAAGAAGCATCGACTATAGCTTCTTTTTACCATTTTAATTTTATCTGATATTCTATTCTTGATTAATTATGTACTTAGGTTCCAGAATAATGTTACTTTCAGGTTCTTTTGCAGAGGACCAAGATGTATTTCAGGCGTGACTCTTACTCTTGATTGTAAACCAGAAAGTAAATGACAGAATCGCATTGGTGGAAAATTCTGAGGTCAAGCTGAGTCTAGGATGGATGGCCACTTTGCAAGGGGGTCAAGCAAATATTGTCATGCCAGGCTCCCCTGCACAGCCGGAGCAGAGGCTTGCCTGTTGGAGGTGGGAGATGAGGGAAAGATAGACAAACTACTGGAGAAGGAAGCGGAGTGCAAACTGGTCCCCATAACCTGTGGGTCGGGGTGCTTAGCTGTGGTTTCCTGCATCACCAGGGGTGGTCTGAGAGCCAAAATATGTCAGGTGGACCTGCGGATGGCTCAGCTAGAGAATGTTCTGAGTGAGGTCCCTCAAGGACAAGTCCTGGGCCTGGAAAGTATTGAGCAGGAAGGTTTGGAAGAACCATGTGTAACCCACTGGTGGGGCTGGGATGAGACTCTTGGCTGAGGAAATATGGGAAAATCCCAGATGTCAGCCATCAATATTTAGAGGGAGGGGGAAAATCTTTTGTTAAGAAAAAAAAAAAAAACAAACCAGTCTCCAAAGAAATGCTTCTATTGTATAAACGTGTCCAAAATGTTGTGAAATCAACTTCGTAGTAAGCATTCTGTCCTACCTAAAATAGCCAAGAAACAAACACGGGTTATTCAGTTTTTCCACTTGGGAAAAAGAAACACTGCTTCAGTTTAACCCTCCGTTTCAGCCTGTGATCGCGGGCTCTTTTCTTACTAGAGGAGGGGGCAGAGAGTGGCTTTGCTGCCAGCCACTCCAGCCATTTAGCAGGAGCCCCGGGCTGGCGCCTGCTGTGGGGACAGACCATGTCTAAACAGCTGCAGCTGAGTCAACGGACTGAGAATGTGGCTGAAGCCAATTTAGCTACACAGCTCCGCCGGCGAGTGAGCCACAGGCTGGACTTCCGTCCCGGCCCCGCCCTTGTCTAGCGGGGACGGATGCGCAACCAATTACAGCGAGTGCTTTTTGACGCCCTGCCCTTATTCAATTCACCCACGGGACAAACATATGATCCTTTATTTCATTATTTTTTTCCCCAGGACTAAAAGGAAAATAAATATTGCCAGTCAAAAAGTACCAACTGAGAACGTGGAATGGAGAATAAGCAAGGAATCCCTTGACTCGTGATGACAGCATAGAAAAGCAAACCTTTAGGAATCGGGTACTTTCATTTTGCAGTGGTATGGCTACATTGAAATTAAAAGATGCTTACTCCTTGGAAGAACAGTTATTAGCAACCTAGGCAGTATTTTAAAAAGCAGAGACATTACTTTGCCAACAAAGGTCCATCTAGTCAAGGCTATAGTTTTTCCAGTAGTCATGTATGGATGTGAGAGTTGGACTATAAAGAAAGCTGAGCACTGAAAAATTGATGCTTTTGAGCTGTGGTGCTGGAGAAGACTCTTGAGAGTCCCTTGGACTGCAAGGAGATCCAAACAGTCTATCCTAAAGGAAATCAGTCCTGAATATTCATTGGAAGGACTGATGTTGAAGTTGAAACTCCAATACTTTGGCCACCTGATGCGAAGAGCTGTCTCTTTTGAAAAAACCCTGAGGCTGGGAAAGATTGAAGGTGGGAGGAGAAGGGGACGAAAGAGGATGAAATGGTGGGTTGGCATCACCTACTCAATGGACATGAGTTTGAGTAAACTCTGGGAGTTGGTGATGGACAGGGATGCCTGGCGTGCTGCAGTCCATGGGGTCGCGGAGAGTCGGACACGACTGAGTGAACTGAACTGAGCTGAACTGAATGGCTGTATTGTGCTTGCCCTTTCACAGAAATACACTGCTTTTTTTTTCTTTCTGAGTTCTGTGCTCAATATACAGGTCCCACCTTAGTCCCCAGAGAAACACCTACTTGGCTATCATTTTCCTCCACGTATGGGAAAGAAAACAAAGTGATGAGGAGACCTTCCAGAGTTAGGAGTTTTATAATGATAACATGATAGTAAAAAGATTTAGTTGACCATTTATTTGTATGAGTCCCCTTTCTTTTTTAAAAAAAGTTTATTTATTCATTTATTTTGGCTGGGTTGAGTCTTAGTTGTGGCACTTGGAATCTTTGATCTTCCTTGCAGCATGTGGAATCTTGAGTTGTAGCACATGGGATCTGTTTCCCCGACCAGGGATTGAAGCCTGGGTCCAGTGCATTGACATCCTGGAGACTCAGCCCCTGGACCCCCCAGGGTAGTCCCCGAGTCCCTTTTCTTATTATGTTGATGCATTTTAAAAAATGAACATGGCCAAGAAAATTCATTACTATAATCCAGTTCTTGAAAACATTATTTATATGTTTGTCCTGGCAGACTTAATAAAATATTGATCAGCTATATTCTCGTAAGTTTCAATAGGGGATACTTTTGCTTCTCCCATGGCCTTTGTAAAAGTGATATTGTGATGGTTACTCAGTCCAGATTTCTGTTTGAGTGACTTGTTTTTTGATGCAGTTGATCTTCCTGGATTGATAGTCCTTTTAAGTTTCTTACAGCAGCCATCTAATGGAGGTGACTTTTGAGCTGAAGTGGTCTAAGACTGAAACCATAGTACAGATCATTAAACTGGGCAGGTGTGGCTGCTTTGACAACTGTGTGCTGTTATAAAATAAGAAAACAGTGCTTCTGATTCCTATGTTAGGAATCATCCATATTTTACTCCTCACAAGGACCAAGTGAGGGTCAGAAGTCCCTGAACAGAAAGTGAGTCTCAACCACACTCTCCTACAGCATGATAACCCACACCTGCATGATAGCATTAATCACTTTGAAGGCAACTTTATATTCAGTTTAGTTCAGTCACTTAGTCATGTCCGACTCTTTGCAACCCCATGGAATGCAGCATGCCAGGCATCCCTGTCCCTCACCAACTTCCAGAGTTTACCCAAACTCATGTCCATTGAGTTGGTGATGCCATCCAACCATCTCATCCTCTGTCGTCCCCTTCTCCTCCTGCCCTCAATCTTTCCCAGCATCAGGGTCTTTTTAAATGAGTCAGTTCTTCACATCAGGTGGCCAAAGTATTGGAGCTTCAGCTTCAGCCATCAGTCCTTCCAACACTCAGGACTGATTTCCATTAGGATGGGCTGGTTGGATCTCCTTGCAGTCCAAAGGACTCTAAAGTGTCTTCTCCAACACCACAACGTAAAAGCACCAATTCTTCGGCTCTTAGCTTTCTTTACAGTCCAATTCTCACATCCATACATGACTACTGGAAAAACCATAGCCTTGACATGTATATACATACATACGTACATACATATTTGGGCTTCCCTGGTGGCTCAGATGGTAAGGAATCTGCCTGCAGTGCAGGAGATGTAGGTTCGATCCCTGGGTCAGGAAGATCCCCCGGAGAAAGAAATGGTAACCCACTTCAGTATTCTTGCCTGGAGGATCCCATGGACAGAGGAGCCTTTCATAGGGTCGCAAAGAGTCAGACATAACTGAGTGACTAAGCAGGCAGACATACATATATATGTTCATTTCTTTCACTCAATTGTGATAGTTGAGGCAGTATGGTAGGACAGGCTTGGGTTCAAGTCCACGGGGCAACATTTTAATCTTGAGACCTAGATTGAGCTGTATAACCTCTTGGAGTCTCTGTTTTGTCACTTGGCAGAAGATGAGAACAATACTTGTATCACAGAGTTGAATGAGGAATATGTATGTACTTACCTGTTATATACATTACATGATCAAGAAGCAAGAATGTCTACACCTAATTTTCAGACTTATTTTTATCTTAGTAATTGGAACTTAGCCCTGGCCCTACCTTGACTAGTGAGTTGAGTTGAGGGATCAGTCACTTCAGTCATGTGCAACTCTTTGCGACCCCATGGACTGTAGCCCACCAGGTTCCTCTGACCATGGGATTCTCCAGGGAAGAATACTGGAGTGGGTTGCCATGCTTTTCTCCAGGGGATCCTCCCAACCCAGGGATCGAAACTGCATCTCCTGGGGCTCCTGCATTGGCAGGCAGATTCCTTAGCACTTGAGCCACCTGGGAAGCCCTGAGTCAGGGAGGCAATAAATATACATTAACTAAATAAATTGATGAAGAAATGAAATAGTCAGCAAGATTGTTGAGAAGGGAGTTTGTCTGGAAGACCCTCATCCCATTTCCCCCAGTCAGCATCCCTCATCCTCAGCCTCGCCCAGCTTCCTACTCATGTCCAGGGTTTGTGTCCAGGGTTTGGAGGTGTGGCTAGAGGGGGCGGGCAAGGGCTCTGACCAATCACTGCCTACTTTTGAGTGACTGAGTTAGTTGAGTCAGTTAGAGATCACTGTTCTGTTTGTAAGCCTAAAGTCACTAAAATGGAAACAAGTAGGTATTTCTCAAAATTCTGGCTGTCAGGTGTGAAATAAAAGCTTACAGTGTCACAAAATGTGTCTCCAGATAGCCCACGGGTGGTGACCCCTGGGTCCTGTGCTGTGGCAAGCTTTAAGAACAGGAGAGAAACATGGAACTCCACTCCTTGCTCACCATGTTGCGGTGCCAAGTAATTCCTATAAGCACTTTCTAAGCTAAAAGACAGATTTACACATCCATCACTATTATTTAATTAGTTCCCCCTTCAAAGTCATCAGTTTCCTTCTCCATGTCTTCGCCTGTTGCTCTGAGAACAGAGTGTGATGAAAGGGACGCCTCCTCCAAGAAGATGAAAAGCCCACTTGTTATGAAATATTGCCTTTTCCATGGTTAAACTCTCTTCAGAACACAGGTAGAGCCCTGGATCGTTTTCCTCTGGTGTTTGCCAAGGCCCAAGCCGCAGACAGTTGAAGAGGCAGAGCATGAGCGATGCGGGGATGTGGGCTGAGGGATTCCGTGTTTAGACAGATGGTGTCCAGCTTTCTCTGTGTTGAGCCAGAGAAAGCAGGAGTCCACGCCTGGAGCATGGGCCCAGGGGAGTGAGTGGAGACGTTTGCTGAGGTCATGAGTGAAGAGTCAAGCATGAAGACAGGGTTCTCAGTCATCATCTCAACGTGTCACCAGGAAAGAGAGGGGTTTTACTCATAAACTGGATAAATGCCTTATCTTTCTTGAAGAAGAGTCTTTGTGAGCATGAAGTCATATGAAAAGAGGTATCATAATAAGAAGCAGTAGTGACAGATTTGAGTGGGCGGGAGTAGGAAAGGAACAGTAATCCTATTTCCTTGTTGGCTCCTGAACACTCTGTGTTCTTAGTCTAAACCTGGTTTGTTCACTTAAGTTTTATTTCACATGTCCACATGGATCAATTGGTAATGGCTCCCTGGAATGTAGGAAAAGAACCTGGTGATTGATTATTGATGTCTGCCCCAGGATAGCAAAGAGGAATAGTTGGATTAATGCCTTTTTCTGGCCATCCCTGGTCTAGAACTCAGCTTCCTTTGGGTTTTACTTTCCTCTCCTTGAAAACCATGCCCACCAGAGTTGTGTGAATTATTTTAAGCCTGAAGATGTAGCTAATGAGGGTATTGTTTGAGGGTTGCTGTGGTTATAGTAAGTTCACTTGCTTAGAACACCATTTTTAGCATTTAAGTAAATGAAAGCATTTACCCTTTCACTTTATTCATCACCACCCACTCACTGAGCACAGGTGTCTGGGATTATAGGAGTCCTGGTATTCTGTTACCAGGTACTGTGTACCACCGTAATGCTGTGGTACCTGATACAGCCTCATGGATTACAAGCTTTCTCTGGTTGGGGTTTTATAGTGAAATGTCAAAGACTGAAACATTGCACAATTTATTATAGAAAAGGAGAAGGCACTTGAAAGTGTCCTGGAGATCTCTGTCTGTCTGTCCATCTCTACCTAGCTTTCCATCTTCAAAATGTGGGAAATAGAGCAACAGAGGGAAGTCATAATATAAGCCTATATTTTAAACTGCTTCGTAACAAATAAGCTTTTTGATTGCATGACTTGAAAAAAATAGCCCTAGTCTCAAGGGTCTGGAAGAGACTTTGAGAAGTCCCCTCAGTTTCTAAGCACCCCTTGTACTCAGACAGGACCTCATATAAAGAGCTTCCAGAACTATTTTGCACAATTTTCTTCTTTAGATTTCCTAAAGCAGATTTGACAGTCTCCTTGAATAACCTACTCCATGACAGATCCAAATTTGTGGGGCCTGGAGCTCAGACAAATTTCGGGGTTCCTTTTAGAGAAAATGGATACAAAAATCTCTTTTATAAATTTTACATAAACAGAAGACATGTAAACACATTACTGAGTCCTCTGCCAGGGTTTTAGAAGGGACTCGTAGCCTAACTTTATCAGCTCTGAAATGTTAACTTTATCAGCATGGTATTCTTAGCAATCAGTAATTTTGGCTAATTTTCTAATCCAGCTGGAATTGAGGAAATAGTTCTTTACACACTTATCTAAGGGAAGAAAGAATGAGATGGATTCTGATTTCATGTATTACATTCTACTAGGAAGTAAAGTGGGTCAGTAGGTAAAGAGTACGGGAGAGCCATGTTCGATCCCTGGGTCAGGAAGATCCCCTGGAGAAGGAAATGGCAACCCACTCTAGTATTCTTGCCTGGGGAATTCCATGGACATACGAGTCTGGTGGGCTACCGTCCATGGGGTCACAAAGAGTCGGACACGACTGAGTGACTAACACTAGGAAGTAGAGTCCAAGTGGTGAAAATATCAGAGCATGTGTGTTTAAAAAAGTTTTTTGGCCTCACTTCACCGACCAGGGATCAAACTCGCACCTCCTGAAGTGGAAGTGTGGAGTCTTAACTACCAGATGGACGTGGGTATACATTTTAAAAATTTGTTTATAAGACTGTAGGCAATTCTGTATAGAATAGTCCTTTATACACTGGCACATATACAAAGAAGACTGGAGAGTTTTTCTTAGTCTTCTTTTTTCTACCATAAAATAATCTGGCCTCCAAAAATAACTAATTTTTTTTTAATGATTATTCTTCTTGTCACCCTTCCATTCCCTGACTTTCTCTCCTCTCCTCTTCCTTTTTCCTTCCTTCCCCTTTTCCATCTGCTTCTTTAATTTTCTTTTTCATTCTTTTCTACCTCCTGTTCTGTCCTTCCTACTTCTCCTTTTTGTAACTTTTTCTCTTCCTTCTTCTTTAAGCTGTGTATTAAAAATTCCCAAATATCACAGTCAAAATGCTGACAATAGCAGATAGCTAAGCTCATTGTTCCTAAATATCCTTTTCTTATTTGTACAAATTTTTTAAGGGATATTGAACAGATTCAAGTTAATTGGGAGCACCCTAAAGACCTGGAGGCCTAAGAATTACCCAAGAATGGAATAAGTATAAATAAGGTGGCAATCAAGCCCCCAGGTTACAAATATTAGATGAGGACACACTTCTGGTATGCTAAACTCCAGAGGCAGAGATAAATCACTGAAACAGACAGGTAAAACAAATTGTGTTTTAAATTTTATTCTTTCTGAAAGTACTCTATTTCATTTTTTTCTCTAGCCAGGTCTGAAAACATGTTTTAGAACTTTGTGAATTTTTGTCCTTGAGATCTTCCCATTACTGAAATTTAGAAACTTTGTTTTACTAAAATTTTAAAACAC